CAATTCCAAATACCTACTTGGCAAATAATCCGTGTCAGTTTGCAAAGAAAAAGTATTTGCACTTTGTAGTAAAAAAAATAATTGCATAAATGTGACAGTTGTTTAAAATTAGAATGTTATAAATAACTGTAGTTAGGTCGCCATTTTAGAATACCTTCATTTGTCTTTGGTATTGTTATTTAATAGTAAATTTATTTTTATTTTTAGTTTGTTCAACCATAAATATTACACGACCCTATTACAGCCTAAGTTGATAAATTAATCGAAATAGAAGGCAAATTAATCAAAACTGGCATACCTACACACAGGTTACATAAATTAAATACTGAACATTGATTGACAACAGAAATCGCGACGTAATCACGTAAATAAAAAATATAAATGTCACATAATACGAGCAATATTTTGTTATAAAACTTCAACTGTACCATTAAACTAATATCGACCATAAACCATTTTAATGTGTTCATAAACCATCAACTCGATCAAAATTAACAAAACGCTACAAAATATTATCTTAGAACACGCAAGATCAAATCGACGTATCAATTAAAGCACGCTTGTATCCACAGGTAAAATAATGCATTAATTATCAACCACAACACGTTACTTTCCCCTCTCTCAGTAGCTTGGAAAACCGCGAAAGTTTGTTCTTCACGCAGTTAACGCCCAACCATCGCACTCGATACATGAAACAAAACGTAAATATTAAATCGATTTTTTTTACCAATCGATTATTTAAGAATTTTATAAATAGACTGAGCGAGTGACAAACGACAGTGTCGAACAGTGAACTAAGTCTGGTTCTAAATTTAAACCGCATACCGAACGGAAATATAGAACGCCCAACGGATTGCATGTTCTATATTTAAAACCCCGAATGCAGCTGCCAGTGTGAACTTTGTCACGGGATTCCGCTTTCTTTTATAGTAAGTTTTATTTTGACATGATATCGGTATGATAGTCTGTGGACTCGTGATACTGGGCCGTGATCGAAGCGATCGATTGTTTTGTAATTGCCATTGATAGTGAAAGTGTCGTGTTTGACGGCCGTCGTCAGATTGTTGGTAAATATTTTCTAACATTTATGGACTTTCACTGCTCGTACTTTCGTAGTACTGCGCCATTCTCGTACCTTACAAACATAGAATTGTTTTGTTACGCAATGTCAGCGTGCAGCGTTATTTGTTATCTGTGGTCGTCCTAGTCATCAGTGTCAGACCGCAAATTACACAATTTGGCAGATGCGATTCAGACTCGTAACCCACTAGACATATTTGATGTTTATTTTTGAAAACCACACTACAAAAATATTTGCTAGCAATCTTTAGTTTACCACAAACTGCATCTCGTTAGGCTAATGTACCTGGGTGTAAAGTAAACTTAACAATCATCATGACCTAAGCATCATTTTCTGAATGAGTATTAAACACACATGACGTCATGATACAATGTCATGTCTTAAGACAAATCATTGTAAAGATTGATCTTATATGAACTGAAGTCACGCATCCATCTGTCAGTTAAATGGTCCGTATAAGAAATATCTGCGAGTATCATGCGATCAACCGAATCAATGCCTTGTGTAGCAGTATTATTTTACGTTAAATAGATTTTTTTTTAATAGGTCATTCATAAAAGGTACTTAAAATGAACGGTGAATACAAAATGTCGTGTATAAGCCCCATTTTTATTAAAGACCCTCTTATCAACTTTTTAAGTAATATCAAATAGGGAATTAATGATCGCCTGTGTAGACATTATTATATTATTCTACAATAGCTTACCAAAATTTTACATACAAAATTAATACAAAAATATTCTTCAAGCATTGGAAATAAGGTCTAAATTAAAGATGGGCGAGATGGGTGAGAGAGCCTCTTGGCTTCAATTTGGTTAAGATCATATTCCATAAAATCTAAGATTTTATGCGACAGTTGATCGAGTGAATTCTATAAATTTTCTTTTTCCCTAATGATGAACGATATCTTTTTATTTATTTAGTTTCGATATCCAAGACAGTTTATGTCCTGTAGATATTGCTTTGATGTTTTTAAGGTTGTATCTATGGTGGATGCTGGCTTACAGAAGGTGCAGCTCTTCGAGAGATAGAGGCAGACTTGTCTTAAAAATGTCGCAATATATTTAATTTTCTTTGGAGAAAATCAACCATAATGTAATATTATGTACTATGTAATATATTATTGCGTTATACGGTAGAGGGTTACGACATGCGCATGCGCACAAGATGCAATGAGCTTAATTCATCCGGTGTAGGAAGCGATCGCTGTTCGAATAAATATGCGAAACCTAAACGTTGTGGTCTGTTTGTTATTCCGCACGTATTCGCGAAGTGTCGGAATGAAAGCAATAGAAATGGTAATTTTTATGTAATAGGTACTCTAATTTTGTTTATGGTCGTTGTTGTATATAGGTATATATATTTGGTGGGTTTGAGCACGAAGTTATTTTGGTGTTTCGAAAAATATAAAATCGGTTATTTGCGATGTTGACTACATTCTGCTTAGCAAGAGTCTTGTGTTCGATTCTTTTGTCGGGCAAAATATTGTTCTTATTTTCAGTTTTGATGTAGCTCGGAGTCTGAAATTGTGAACCATGTAGGCTCGCCTTCTATTGGGCAAGGATTATAAAAAAAGTTACATTGTAAATGTCTCAACTGAATACAACAAATGTGTACAGGTGGACTTAATGACTTCGGAATTGCCTCCCAGGTCACCTCTGTCTTTTGTCTAAGTACAGTGCCTACTCCATAAAGAAACTGTCATCCTTAAGTCACTACTCCTCTAGAAGATATTTATACTTGCGGTGAAATAACTAACACACAGTATATTATAATATTAGATAAGTACGCCACAAGTTATCCAACACAAAACTATTATATTCTTCCTCATAAAGAAAATAAACTAATACAAAAACTGGTCCGGTACCCGCCATTATATTTACGTTAGTCAACAGAAAGTACTGTCAACTTAACTGATGGCACCCAGGAAGTTACAACTCCTTTTATACAAACTCTATGCACAGACATCCAGCTCATCAAAGTATACCCACGTGTCAAATTGGTTTTCAACTTTATTTGTGCTGCAATAAAGTTAAAATTCTATTGTAGGGTTTTGTAAAGTTTGGGTAGGTTGATATGCTTGGTGTCTATGCTAAGTTGTAGGTGAAACATTTTTGAAATTCGAACTTTAGTTTTCTTTTTCTTATCAGCCACATTTTTTGTTTTAAAATGGTCATGTTGCCTTGTTTAATCTGTGGACAGGATGTATATCAGTTTAGAGTACAATTTAAGTTATCAGTCCGCTAAATTGGGAATAAAGGGCCGTCATGTAAGATGTTATTTCATGCAAATGATTAGTAGAATAGAATAGAATAATCTTTATTGTACACCGTTCATAATATAGTACATACAGACAAAAGGAAATGACAAACATAATTAAAAAAAAATAGGCATAAAGGCGGCTTACTTTAGTAATTGATTTTGATATTTAAACAAAAAGAGTACATTATATAAATCCCACCAAACTGGTAGGTATAACAGTTTGACGGAGGTTATTCATTCAGTGAACTATTATTATGGAGTGACCTAAATCGTTAGAAAACTATTTTTTTTTTGTGAAATTAGGCAAAACCTCGGTTTTTACTTTATTTTGGGACCATACCTCTCCACAAATTACTTACCTACAATTAAAATTTTATGCTTTTTTATCTTAACTTTTATTAAACCGTTGTTAAATCACTTTTTGTTAATTAACCACGGTCGAGTCGTTGCAAATTGAGAAAAATTACCAAAAAGCACCGTTTCCTTGATCTTCAGATAACATGGAAATTTTGTCCGGGCATTGAATCTGCATACTTATTAAATATTTATACCGTGGCTTACCGTGTAATAATGAGCCCGTGAAATGTTAAATAATATTAGGTACAAGATTACATCTGTAAAATAAACTATTGCAAGAAAAATGAAAAATTATTTACATAAACAAATTAGTTTTTTAGTTGCTTGTTTTGTTTGCTTTATAAAAAGCAAACATTTAATTACTTAAGTACACATTGAAAACTGAATCGTATTATCTCTCAACTATAAGTGTCAAAATACCTAATATGCTATCATTAACATTACAGTTATCCACAAGAAAATACCTAGACCTATACTAATCTAATGATTCAGACATGTATTCCAACGGAAATGTCTCAAATATTTGCTAAGAACATACCTAATATAATTTTCACAATAACGATTACAATTTTTTGTCTAGAGGCGTTCAAAGCGCTATAATTATACACGATTATCAGTTTAAGTTCCCGTTAATCTATTAAGAAATATTTTGACCGCGCCTTGGTTTAAAACTCGTTAGAAAAAATTACGTAAAAGAACTTTTACTTTCGTTTTTCTTTAGGAATGAGGAGAATTCCTAAGTATAAATGTATGTTAGTATTAGGCTCAGGTTTTGTCCATTTCTCTTAGTTGACATGTAAATCTATTGTCTAGGCAGCATCTGTAACCGAAGTCAGCATTTCTCTCATTTAAATTGTAGTCATAGAAGAACATTACCAGTGTACTGATTTGTACAATTTTAATTGGCTTATTTCGAACTCTGACGTCGGGAAGCCCTGTAAATGCTTGCTATTCAGGATTCAGTACAAATGGCGATGTTTCGCGAACACAGCAGATCGTGTGTTGTGAAGTAAATTCAATATTGAAGCGCGTGTAACTGTAATTGTTTGTTTCGTGTGCGTAATCGATTTTTGTGAACTAAAATTATGTGTTGCTAGCGTCCCGCCCAGACAATATTTTGTGTTTTTTTTTTTGCTAAAAACATTTATGAACATTTTAGACGGAGGGATTCAATTATTTAGTTCGATCAAGCCATTCTTGAGTTTTGCTCTAAACAACACGATGTTTTACTATATTATTATAGTCTAGTTTTTACTACATGAACAATATTTTCTAACCTTGAATCCTTTCTATTTTCCAGACAACAGACAGCGCAGACTTCCTGGCGACGCGGCCGCACACGGCTGCGGTCATCCCAGGCAAGCCTGCCGGCAACCCACTGCAGTTCGTGCGGGTAGGTCCTGCTGACCTGGGCAGTAGAGCCAGGGAACAACTTCGAAGAGCTGAGCTCGCGAAGAGAACAGATCCTGCTCGCATTGAAAGGCAGGAGGACTGGCAATCGGTGAGTGAACTTTTATCAATGTACAGAGTACCAAGCACGAATAACTATCGCATTCGTAACGTAATAGTATCGAGTGCGTTCGGCGCCCTGATTGGCCGGCTCAAGTGAACCAACCAATCAGAACGCGCTCGATACTGTTACGATACGAATGCGATAGTTATTCGTGCTTGGCCCTCTGGATGTAGAAAGAACCTCGAACTCCACTGTAGGTAGATACTAACTTTTTGAAATGTGTTTAAAGTATATTATTACGTGACGTCTTGCTTAGGTATGATGTATGTGTGGTTCGACGTCTATGTGAAGTGGAGCTAGGGATAGCCAAGGTAGCTGATAGTATAAACTTGATAGTAATCGATGGCGTATGGCGGTCTGTGTCTACATTTTACAATAGGATTGTCAAGGAGTTTTGTTTATTCCATAAGTCATACGTAACTATAACTGACTAATGACTGATAATAAAATTACTGTCCATAAAAGGAAACAAAATTGGTGTACAAATATTTACCTTATGCATCACGAAAACCACATTTTACTCATACCGTTACCGTACTTAACTCGAAGGAAACTCACCAACTACCTATGTCTGGACAAGATGACAAATCCATTATATTCAAAGCATGGGAACGTATTGGGTATGCAGTGAGCGTTCCACTGCAGTATTTTATCTTCATCTGGAACCGAATCACCATAAAACATTCCCTACAGTTTTATTTTTGCTCACTTTTAGTGAAGCAATAAGGAAGCCAGTTTCCAAAGGCTGGTGTAGGGCTGCCGAGTGACGTTAGACATGTGGCGATTGGATTAATTCGTTAGTTCTTTAGTACTTAGAATTAGACCTGTATGCCAAATGTCAAGGCTAGATGATTGGTTGCTTTTAAAAGAAGGCCTAAAAGACGTCAAAGTCTTATCATTTCACAATCAATTAAAACTAGGGTTAGTGATTTAAAAGATATGTTACCGAACATCCAATCCCTCTCTTCCCATCCTATCCTATCCTTCCCGTCCTGAATTCCTAAAAAATCGATAATTCACTTGTATCTCCTCAGGTGTTGCACATACGACCACAGGCGGAACAAATTCTTATTCGTTTGCTATAAAAAAAAATTTTTTTTTGAGCACGTTGCCTCACACTAGGATTTTCTCCTGTATCGTGGGTGCGTTTACAAACGTACAAGTTTACCTACACATGACACCCAGACTCGGAACAACAATCTGTGGATCACACAAAGAGTTGTTCCGTGCGGGAATCGAACTCGCGACACGTTGCGTTGCAGCCAGTTGCACAGCCACCGCACCAACCATGCAGTCAAACTTTTTGTAAACTTCTTATAAAAAACAGAAGAATTTTGATAAATGAGCAGTCCTATCCCTATACTTCACCTACTTTACGTACAAGCCTACGATAATTAAGTCTAGTAGGTTAATTATCAATGGGCGTGTGGTCCTAACTCCAGCTCTCACAGCTTCACGCTCCGCCACGCTCGTTTGCTGTTTATGCTCTTGTTTATTTGTGACTTAGTAAATTCGACAAGCATTACTTTATATTGTGTTTATGACATGCTGGTGACATGTATTTTAAGTATTTGTTCCTTTGGCTAATAGTTTAGCAAACTGTCTTAACCCGTCGAGCGTCCGCGTTCCTTATGATCCAACGGGTGCACACGTGACATTTGGAGAAAGAAAGAAAGAAAGAAAATGGCCATTGGCACACGAAAACAAGGATCATTATAATAGAAATAAAAAATACAGTCAAAATAAAAACAAAACATTAATAATAGATTTTATAAAAGGGTGATCCACCGGGTGCTCATAAGGACGCTCGAGGGGTTAAATAACTTTCATTTGTTTTTAGCTAAAAAAACCGTGCATAAAAGTATTCTTTTCGACATTACTCATGATTGCTACTCATAGAGAATTTCCAAAAAATGCTATGGAATTTTGTAAGAAATAGATCATACTGATTTGAATTCATTAAATTCTTTAATGGTAACCAAAACCTGTATAATTTCCGTTATTAAATGTGTAAGAACAATTATTATACCTCGACAACCCTAACATCCATGGAGGCAGTTAAAATAATTCAGTGTTGCCGCCGAGTGAAGTTTTTCACTTTTTTCCTAATGGTCATTAATTACTGAGCTTCCGATGGTGCTGGAAAGCGCTAACCAGGTTAATTGCCATACGTTCTTTATGTGAAGTTTTCTGCAAAAATTATTCCCTTGTAAGTACTTTGTCGAGGTTTGTATGTCTCTAGTTCTTCAGTCTCTATATTACCTTTTACGTCTTAATAGAAACTTGTGTTTACTCGGATCTATTTTGAATCTTTGTTAAGACCAAGTCTTTTGAGACAAACTTCTTAAATGATCAAGTAATTTGTTATACTGCTTCGATTCTACTGATTAGGGTTTTCCAATCGTGATTTTCTCGATGACATATACCTCTCGAATAGGCTGACTATACATATCCATTAAGTATTGAAACGCATCTGTTTATCTTGTGTATTAATCTATATAAATAAAAAATCTATTTCCGTTCGTTAGTCTCGCTAAACTCGAGAAAAGCTGAACCGATTTGGCTAATGTTCGTCTTGAAATGCATAGTTTAAAAAAAAATTTAGGCGGTACGAAGTATGGTGGGTCAGCTAGTTCATAATAATAATTACGTACATAATGACGAGAAAAGCATACAATAGGGTGGTTGCCTAAATTTTATTTTAATGTCTGGTAGATTTATTTAATACATTACACACGTATTTTTTCTTTTCTTACAAAATTAAATACTTTCGACGATATATTAATCTGAAATATCGTGTCGACCTCCCACTCCTAAACTTAACTCCATTTTATCTAAGTATTGTAACTATACGAGAAAATAAAAAAATACGTGTCTAGTATTATTTCATTATCTAACTGACGGACTAATTAGATTTTTAATTTTGTTACCCTGGCAACTACCCTATTACATACATCTCTAGTATTATCCAGCTAGCCAATGAATTAAGAATTGTTAAACAATGAATTTCCTCGCAATGTTGTAACTCAAAAGCGTTTACGGTGTGTTTCAATCCACGTGTAGCGATTTCAAAACCTTTATTCAATAGCGCCGTGGGTATTGATTTATATCTCGTAAATACTCTCAAATTGTTTTGTTTTTATTTGTTGTTGCTTGCATGACATGTTTACGTCTTTACTGTATATTTTACACCATATGTAAAACATATACGTTTGTTACGAACCTTTATAACATTGTTTATAGTTATTTTTGTTTTAGTAGACAATTCGGTTTGGTTTCTCAATCTTTGCTATAAATCTACTGATTATAATTACTGTTATTTGCAGTATATTAAATCAGCTTAAAAATACTACAAATGAAACTAATTCTACTGCTAAAATGCTGATTTTAAAGCAGCTGCAAACATTCTGTACAAAAATGATTGTAATAGTTATGGACAGCTCAAGATGTTGAAATAATTCGTCATTAAAAACTAACGAGCTATATGTGAAGCATCTCTAAATCGATCTGTAATTAAAACGTGCCTGTGGTTTAGCTGTAGCTGTTAAACTATTACAAAAACGTCACACCTCACATGGACGGCCATATTTGTATTTTTTTTCTTCATTTCCATTCAGCCTCACGTTTCCATCCAATTACTTCGATGACAGATTCCTTCAGTAACATGTGAAGTATCTCATAATGACAGAGAATGTCGCCGTCCACGTCTTACGGCCAATTACGTGGATCGTAACAAAACAATAACAAAGCTCGCACTGCCTCTGCGCGGGCGCGGGCCGGAAGTTGTGCGCATACGCATGCCCAGCGACGACTTCCGGCGGTGTAACGAGCCGCCCTTTGTGGAATTAACTATGTATAAGTTTGTAGTTGTTTTTGTGAGGCCCTAGTAGGCTGGTTGTTGGTTCGTAATTAATATGTTGTTCTGTTTTTGAAGCCTAATAAATTCAGCTTGTTTTGGTTGGCTAGATCATCATAAAGATGTCGGAAATGTGGTAAAGACTTTTTACTAAACTATGTTGCCTCTTTTGGACAAGCTTCTTCTCATTTAACTAGCGTTTAATCCCTCCATTCCTAATTCTTGGGATACCTTCCCCTTCCTTAGAAGCGAGATAAAAATAAACTACTACTAGACATACCGAATACCAATAAAACTGATCTTCAAAACATACCAAACAAGAACTAACATTTTCTTGCATTCTATACTTTTTCAGTTGTACCATTATTGCGGTCATTACTCAGATTAGCCGAGATTAGCCATCGTTAAGCTGCCAAGACGACTCTTGCGCAACTAGTGTGCGATTTAAAAATATCTGTATTTCCTAGCCGCCACTCAATAATAGGTCTATTAAGTTCCCCTCGAATGTTTGATTGGTTTAAATTGTAAGTTGTATGATGTATTGCTTAAGTTACAGCGGATTTGTGAAGTAATGAAAAATATTAATCGTAATTACATTTTCTCCCTGTCTTTATTAATTTTCGGGGAAGGTGGAATATTTCAGTTGGACATTTCATAATTTTGGAACATTTCTGTCTTACCTTGTTTTTTTGTTATTCTACTTGACATAGGATTTCCTCTACTATCTTTTTATCTTCATGGAATTCCTTGCCAGAGGCTGTGTTTCCCGTCAAATATGACTTGGGTATCTTCAAGTCCCGAGTGAACAGGTTGCTCATAGGTAGGCGTGCTCCATCGTCGGCCACATCGTCGCTTACCATCAGGCGAGATAGTGGACAAACGTCGACCTATAAAGTATAAAAAAAAAGTTTTCTCGTATTAATTTTCAAATTTCAAAGTTTAACATTTCCATATTTGACTTGTCTTGTCCAAAAATTGTCCTTCAGTCGCTCCCCGCTTCATTTTACACTTTGTGGCACACAAAATGGCAGCGTTTAACTCTAGCAAGCGAAATTGTATAAAAAACACGGTTGCTACCAGCGCACGCGATGTTTGACATGCCAGCTAGAACGATCCACTCTCTCGACGTTCGACAACATGTAACTAGTATCCACTGTCAATAACTGAACTTGTAAAAGTAAATAAAAGTGGCATGCTGTAATGTACCTTCTGGCTATAAGAACAAGGGTGTGTAATAGACTAATAGTTATGCTCGTAGTTATTGTGTGTGCCCAACGTTTCAACAGGCACATTATTAATCTCGTAGCAGCATTTGTAATGGAGACCAGGTCTAGATACAGGTCGCTTGCAGTCTTCGACAGACAGAACATGTTATATAGCTGTTACGATGATGATGAGACGATATGTAATACCTATTAGGTATGTCTCAAAGTTCACGACAGAAATTGGACTTTACGTGAAATTAGTTCGACAGAATTTGTCAACCGAAAAACCAATAGCATACATCGACTCTTCTACGATACAGCTGGTAAATTATTATTAATTATTGGAGTTTGTGCCCTAACAGAAGTAAACCGTGAAGTACATTACTATCTTGATGGTAATCAAGACAGCATAGTGTCGGAGTTTTCTCCTTCACCCATAAGAGAAAAGAGCGTGACCACATCGGACGTAATATGTATATTAATTACAGAGAAACTTATTTGTTTATAGATTTACGATCATAGAATATGTTACTAACTATTCATTTGTTAATATTTTAATTGTTATTATCGTTGATGAAGAAGAGCGCAAGAGCGTTGATAAACGCATGAATTCAGAGAAATTGAAATCTACACCACACTTTTTTTTGGAATATTTTACATTCAAAATAATTGAAAAGAGTGTTCAGCAAACTTTTGCGTGTATCACCCGCCGACGAACAGGGGCATTTATCTGAATTTGCAGAAGAAACACGTGACAATACAAGATCTGTTACTGAAGCTGAAGATGGCAAAGATGGCAGATTTGCCATCACGACATATTTTATGAAATTCAACACTTAACAAAACATCAAATCGAACTATCAGTTAAATGACGTTACAAAATATAATAAACCTGGAAAATCACCTCAAGGTTTTATTCTAGATCCGCATTAAACATCATAATTAGTTCAGTCTCTCCTCATTAAGTATTTAAACAGATTTAAGATAAACACGCATACATCCTTGACCGACCACGCAAACGTTATCTTAGTTCAAAGATTAAATAATACCTAAGTACTAAGTACTAGACAAGAAATAGTTGAATCATAACCGTGGAAAAGAACGGATCGTTGTAATTAGCGCATTAAATTAATTATTATATTATGGAGGAACAAATCAAAAAGTTACGTGATAGACTTCGCAATGTAAGTTCTTAAGATAATTGCCCCAATTCGTGACTGACTTTAGTATTGGGGATATAAATAAAGATATTTGTAGTTGTGTGTTTGTACGTGGTTGATATGACGATTGATGAGTGAATGGATTACGAAATAATTATAGAAAGCGAGATATTAAGTCTAAGTTACTAATTTATGTTGAATAGACTTTTTAATTTCGAACAAAAACATTATTAATTAAATAGTACTTTAAACTGTCAAACACCAAGCGGTCACCGGTGACCGCGACCTATTGTTCTTTAATTGTGTCTATAAAACCGGTACTCGACGAGTTAAATGGGACGACAAGGCTTTACTTGTCTCAATGCCGAGTGAGATACGACATTCATGGTTATGCTTGTCAATAACTATTGTAAATAGATCAAAGTGTGTTGCTTTAAGACGAAGTACGGAGAAGTGGGTATCTAAATATTGTCTTTTCCAAGGTTTCGGCAAATGAAGTTCATAACCAATGTGTGGTTTATATTCAACCGATTTATAATAATACCTTAACTCTCAATTCCAAAGATGATAATGATAAAAGTATAAACAGAGTTGACATAGCTATAATTGATGTGTAAGTTAAAACCAATAATAACAATGGTATTGTTTCAGAACCTGGACAATTGGAAGTCGTCACGGCGGAAGCGGGTGGAACACATAATAGAGCGGTGCGTGGAGGTGCGGCGCATGGAGCACGAGCCCAGCCAGCCCCGAGCCAAGTCCAAGACCTTCAACGAGATGCTGGAGGAACGGTCAGTACAAATATACAACTTTTATATCAATTAAGCAAACATAAGACACATAGGACTAATTAGGATTTGATTTTAACAAAACTACAAGAGCTTTCCATTTCCCAAGATTTCATAAGTTATCCATAATATTAAGCTTGCTTCACGTTTATGAAAAGTTATGTAAATATATTATGACTTGGAGACACGGAAATTAAAATTACAAATCATTTTAAACACATGCAAACGATTTGCTATTTCTATGTATGAACTTGAGTTGGACCTAGGAAAGCGCCTTGGGGAATACTTTGCGTTGACTGTTTACTGATCGTAGTACATTACTTTAGAATATAAATTTGTCTATTCGTACTCATCAAGCTGCTGGATGCAACTAGAAATCAGATTTATGTATCAAAGATACAGTTCCTATATCTATAGTCCTAACTATCATTGTAAACAAAGCCGTATGCATCAGTACTATGCATTAGCATCTCTTGACATGCAGCGGAGTTCAACTACCAGATAAATATGTATGTATGCATGTGTGTGTGACTTCGCGCGAAACGAAAGAGAAACATGGAGTAATGAATGCATTAGATGATTAGATTCTTGTCTCGTCTTTAGGTGTTAGGATTACTATGGTAGTAAAGGTAATGAGCTCTGCCTCTGTGTTGTTTGCAAGTGCTATGGAAATTGGTATGGCTTTTACCCACGACTTAGCTTCTAATTTGTTTTTTTTTTGTTTCCTTATCTGGCTACATACCACGTGTGTGTTACTTTTGGAGGTATTAGATTTGAGTAAGATTTAGTGCCGATGGGTTTTATGAGAATATTTATATTTTTCTATGCCATTCTTATGGAACAGACAACCATTAATATGTTGTAGTCCGTTAACCCCCGAAGCGGTAAACAACCACACGACAGGCGGTCGAGCGATTCACGATAATGTACAACTTGGCTAATAATACATTGAAATCTTAATATCTTGCAAACGCTCATTCGAGGTCAGTGGCAGAAACACATAAAACCCATTTCATGATCGTCTCTTTTATGTGCAGAATCAATAAAATCGTTGCAACACTAATTCATCGATACTTGCGTACTTCAAAAGGTTCCCACACAGATGATCTTTTTACACCACAGATAATAAAGTTACCATCATTAATAGACTGATCATTTCATCATTCTATAACAAATATTGGCTACAATTGCGTCTCATTACTGTTAATACCACCTTACCCAACAGACGGTAAATTACCTTATTATTATTATTTATTATTTAACTCTTTATTGCGAAAGTGCGACGAACGTGCATTTTAACGTAATTAGTGACATTTGATTGTTATTTAACGTTAAGTAATTGATTGACAATAAGGAAATCCACGTAAGAGACGTTGACCGAAAAAGTAAAGCTATATTTTTGTGTTAAAACATTTTTATATGTTGACATTAATGTCGTGTGGTTAAAATAGCTGCATGTTTACTTCATATTTAATTTCGTTGGGTTTCATAAGCACTTTATTGCCGGGAGAAGAGAGAGGGATTGTGTTTGAAACTCTTAGTTTAGTTATGCTTTGGTGAACACCCCATTGGATATCCTCGAAGTTGAGAGAATACTGTAAGCATGCACGCTTCGGCGTTTATAAGAATGGTGTCGATGCTTAAGAATGGATGTTCATTTTATGCCCACATTTTCTTTGCATCTTGGTCGGTGTTTCATGTTTTCGATTTAAATTCTTCTGTATCAATCTTCATCTTAGCCTAAGTTCTCTCTATATCCACATTATACAATATCCATGTCTTTCTTAGCCGTTAGCTCCCTTCTTTTCTTTACAATTTATTATGTTCATCATTGTCTTAGCCATATCATTATGTAGACTATACAATAGTTTTCTTTTCATACAAAACATTAAAACCTAGTCTGTTAACATAAATACATAGTTGTTATAACATATGTATTATTTTTTCTCTCAAACAAGACCATTTAGACCATGTAATGTCGTAAAACACTTGACAGAAACTTGATCTATAAAAAAAACTACATATTTGGTAATACTTGTCTCTCAATGCAATTTCCACCTTACCACATATGAACAAGTTTTAAATTACAATAGCATATTTTCCGAACAAGAATTTCGTACGCTTGCAATTAGATTTCGGTTTTATTTTCTTTATGTTAAAGTTTATTTTGTAAAGAGAAGTGGTTCATGTGTGTTTGGTACTAGTGTTGCGGTAGAGCAGTAAGGTTATCGATTCGCAATGCTCGTAATGTAATATCGATGTCATTGACTCGATATACAGTATTGTATTGCTCGGGTTTATTTTAACTCGTACTCGGTACTTACTGACTTTGATTTCGAAGCGGTGACTGACCATATGTGTACTACTGTATGATATTACTTGGAACCTAGGCAAGCTTATAGTAGCTATTCACTTTAATCTTGATAGAAAATACTTACATTTAGTCGATTACGCTGCTTTACGCCATTAAATCTTAACTTTCATAAACATCGCTGGTTCGCTATTCTTACCCTAAAAACTAAATCCATTGATCCGTCCCTAACGTATTACCCAACCACTATCAATACAAAAGCAGCAATGAACTCCATTCGCTATACATTTCCCTTAAAACCAGGTCAATGCGAATCGATTGTTTCGGAGTTTCGGCAGTTATTGTAAATCGATCAGAAACAGTTTGAGTTAATAAAGTTTTGTTAACTATAAGAATGTTATGTTTCTTATTGGTTATGTTATTTGTAGTTGTACCATGGGAACTTTGTGTTAATGTGTTTCGAACATGCTATAGTTTGGTGGTGATTATATTCAATTTGTATTGTTTGACTGCTCTGTACTTTGTGGGTTAAAGATACGGTTTTTGTTATATTCACTGGAATAAAGTACTGTAATTACAGAGCGATTTGAACGTTATTACATAAATTTTCGGTTGTTTAGGAACATTTTCAGATATATTTGAACGTAATCAGAAGCCAGGCCTTTAAAATTATCACTTGTAGAAAGTATAAGTAAAGGTGGATACTGCTATCAGTTCATAAATTTTCATGTCAATAGAAATTCTGTTGTTTGTATTCATAAAAAAATATTAGCGACATCTGTTTGGCATATCCTCCCAATACCTCGTCAAAATAAGAAACCATAAGAAAATTCAATCAGTAACTTGACACGTAATTACAAATCCCATTCGAACTCTTTCCCCCAAAGGAAATCGACTTTCGTGTGTGACGGGGGACGCGGTATAAGTTACACGTCCGTCTCGGTCGGCGGGCAGTGCGCGACTGATCAAGTTACCTGTACATGAATTGGTACATGTGCAAGCGCAACAAGGCGTGGCGCTGTGTTTGTCTTTATTTTGAAAATTGTCGTGATTAGATAGACACGATTGTATCTTGTTTGAAGCACTTTTGACAGTTTAAAATAATTTAAATAATTTGTTAATAAAACGTAAAGCACATTCTTACACGATCATGTTCGTAATAATATGTTTAATTGTAATTCATAGCTTAAAACTTTATAGACATCCAAGCAAGTCTTCAGTGTTTATACGTATTCGTTCATACGTATAATGCGAAAGTATCGAATTCTCCCACAATATAACTGCGAATCAAGTATGACGGATAGCAAAAATCTGATTGAAAGATTGCATAAATTGTCCATCTTAAGAATGTTAATGACATTTTAATGCCGAACCAATGTTTTATCGATTCATCGAATAAGTAATCGAGCATAAACTTCAATCGATCTATCGCTAATCAGACTCATCGGAATTGCGATCACTTTGTAATTGCTGTTCAAATAAACCAATTAATCGTTATTATATAACTCTAGTAATACCGAAATACCGATTAATCGATTTATTTATCATCTGCTCGACTTTCTAAACAATTACTGATGTTTGCTATCGCCGGATTTCCGTTTACGTTTGTAGAAATTCGGAATTATATTTCGTTTGTTTGTGTGTAATTCTAGACTGTAATTTGCAATGTTTTGTCTAGTGTAAGTTGGTATAGTTAGCATATTTTACTGCCAACTTAAATGTATTAAAATAATTATGTAGAGGATGCATTATTTGTTACCGATTTTTAGGTGCTGACGTGGTGTGGTGGGACATCATTCGTTATTATTAAATTTAATGAAATATTTAAACTAATATTTGTTTTTTTGTTTGAACGCGCTAATCTCCGAAACTACTGGTCCGATTTGAATAATTCTTTCTGTGTTGGATAGTGTATTTATCGAAGAAGGCTATACGCTATAAAATATCACGCTACGATTAATAGGCGCCGAGCAGAGCGAGTGAAACCGCGCGGAAGTAGCTGGTAGTTTATATTGGATTAAGAGTAGAGAACACGTTGAAAGTATTTCTTGCCCCTAACATTTTTTAAACCTGAAATTAAATCATAGTCAAAACATACATTATGTAGGTGAACTGGATTTAATAACATGGCTACAAGCACGTTTAACCGAAATTTATATTTACAATCATTTCTAAAAATATAGGTACTTAAAGTACTTACACATTTTGTTTAAATTATCGCCATTGTACATATATTTGGTACAAAGAGATCTCTTGTTCATGAAAACATTATCAATCCTTTGTTAACTTACTGAAACAACTTCATTACAGTACTTGTTCTAAGAAACACTGAATAGGTAGCTATTTATTTTGTGACTTATTGTCTATTGTATTAAGTATATTTTCAAACATTAACTGTAGCTACAAAATATTACATCTCCATTGTAATGAATTACATTTACCTTTTACCCAGATTCATAGGAAAACAGGTCTTAGTGACTTGAGGAAAATGATGTCTAACACTCCAGTTTTGGAATAGGTGTAAAGGTGAAAATCGAATACACATGAGTAGTACTTTAAATCGCCTAATATAGAGGATAGTTTTCAAAACTACAGAATGTTTGCTAAACGATCTGAGTGCTACAAAGTAGTGTTCATTCATGAACTATTTGGAAATAACTAAAATGGCTACACAGATTTAAGACCAGTATAA